CAAGGGAGAGGTAAGTAGGGAAAGCCAGGCAGGTGCTCCCAGGGCTTGAGGGGCCCACATCTGCATGGGAATTCCCAGGGTATGCAGGATCAGGTCCCTCAGAGCTGCCCAGGGTGGCTGAAGAGTGCAGCCAACACTTTCCTGCAATGAAGCAAATAGACATCCACCACAATAAAACAGCCATATTTTACACTACCTTTTAGCACAGCCACTGATGTGGGTGAAGAAGGGTAAAGACGTCTATTTGCCTGCTGTTTGTGCCACCATGAAAATTTTGATGGTAGCACAAATGCGATGTCATTGACACCTCTTTGTACCCTGAAACTGAAAGGAAAGAGAGAACCAGGAGCTGTGTGAGTGAAGCAGGTGAATACAGGCCAGGTCTGCATGGCAATCTTACCACAGCCATCAAGAGTAAGGACCCTTTAGGCACATCTACATGAGATACTTAATGCGCAGTAGCCTAATAACACTGCACAGTAGTGTGCTGGGCAAAAACCGTGATAATATGCTACCGTGCAGTAGTATTAGGCTCCTGCACATTTAATTAGTACTTCATTAAGCAAATACTAAACTAAATTAGCAGTAGCTACTGCACATTAATGAATGTGTAGATGTGCCCTGTACTGCTCTGGGTAGCCTACCTTCTTGACTAAAAACAATATTACATAGTGCTTTTGGTTAGCTATTTAGCATGGATTTGGGCTAACTGGCCCATGCAACTGTGTCTGGTGCACTGCATAGACCTCGCTACGCTGTTTCTGGTTTAGGGGGTAACCCGCCCAGAGCATTATGTGTGCTTGAGGGCACCAGCATTAGGCATAATACATTTACCATGTCGACAGGGCTACATATGCTGTTCACCCTTGGGAACCTGGTTTTGAATTTTTGATCGCAAGCACAGTCTGACAGGATTGTCCCTACCTGCTCTGGTCTGGAGGTCCAAAGCCAGCACTTAGAGCACTGGTAGGGTTGGGTGAGGGGAGCTTGCTTAGTGCCTGCTTGAAGTCTGAAGGCTCAGTGCAGTGGTTTCATAAATCCTAAACTGACCCACAGCATTTTGAAAGGATTAGAAAATAGATCTTTAAAAAAAGATCTATATATATCACAGCAGTTGTATCTCCCCCACCCACCAGCTCACAGCTCAGAGACAAATCTCCTTAGATGTCTGAGGGCATCTACCAGCACCTTTCTGCAGCTGCTCCATTACTGAGATTGCGGTTCATCCGTGGATTTCATTAGGATGAGTGGAGTGTCTTTTGAAAGAGACCCAGCCCATTAAACCCAAGATAGATGCTTGTGAGTGCATTAACAGAGGAATAGGTAGGCAGAGGCTGTTTATTAATGAGCCTGCTGCTTCTCTCTCATTACATTGCACTTCCATTTTCTCTGACATTGCCTTCTCCTTGTACAAAATTTCCCCAAATCAATAAATCAAAACTTTTAAATAGAGGATTTTCCTCTATTGCTATTTTATGCAACATCTGCGAGCTGGCAAATTACAGGCCCAAGGAGCGGGAGACTGCCCAGTGGGGCAACCTTTTCTTTGCGCTGAACAAGCCTGAACAGCCAGGCACTTCTTACCGCCTTCCTAGGGTTCAATTGCCATGTTAAGCCACTGGATCATATAAAGAGTACTGCAGAGGAGTACTCCTTAAGGAGTTCCATGGGGACTCTAGGAGGCATTGTACACACCCCTCTGTGACACAGACTTTCATCCTTTCATCTCCATTTGGGAGAGCCAATGGTGCTAATGACAAGGAGCCAATGCATTCAGGGAATATCAGGGCTGTAAGTGGGACCAGAGCCTATGTGGGAGATAGAAAGGTGGCTCATCCTTCCTACCACGTGTCCCCGGGCCTAAAGTAATAGCCAGACTTGTGACCTCTCTGTCTGAGCCATAGTCCAGACTAGGGGGTGATGCTGATAAGAGCCGAGGGGAAAAGAACTGGAAAGCGCAATCCAGCCGCTTGCCCCAGGAAAACATACCTACTGCACACTGCCACATCCCTGCAGATGAAACAGCCAGGAAGAAGCAAGGGCATGTCTTTGCCTTCCCTTTCCCCCTTTGGGGCAGTTTGCTTCCTGGTGGCTCAAGGAAGGAGCATTTCTCTCTCTCAGGCACAAGGGCAGTGCCTGTTCCAAACTCCAACACAGGGTGTGAAATCTGTGTGTGTGCAGGAAGGGGAGACTCTTTGAACCCTTTTGCCACACATGGGGCAAGGGTAATGAGGTGGAAGGAGCAGAAGGACAGTGGCCTTGGGGATTTGTGGGAAGAGCAGGGACATTGTTCTCCTTTGGGCATCACATTGTTCCCTTGAGGGGTGCAGGGCAGGAGTACGTGCATCCTCCTAGCCTTTTTTTTGGAAAAATTGAAGTGTATTGACTTAGACTCCATCTGAACAATACTGCAAGTCATGGATTCAGGTTCACTGGATGTCCTGAGGGACATCAGTTTGGGGCTCCCAGCTCAGATCTTGCAGGAAATGTCCCTAAACCTAAAAGCTTAAGTACTTAAAGCAAATAAAGGACCCAACAGAAAAAGGTATTTGGTTAGAGTCAGCTCCAACTTCTATGAAAGCCAAACCCTGAGCACTGTGAGTGTATTTGCTTTAGTAGGTCTGGCCACCTCAGAAGGATTCTAACTAGTGCATTTCCTCTTCCACTGGGTCTGTACACCCCTTCTTTCTGCACTGTCAGACTGACTAGGTGAGTGGTTCACCAGCTTCTGCCACTTACTGTCCGATCTTCCAAGTACATGGTTTTTGATAAGAAGTCGATTCCGATTGTAGCCTGTAAGAGATGAAGAGACAGGTAATGAGAGGAGTAGCAGAGGGTATTTGGGGGCAGTCAGGCAGGCAGTATTTTAAATTATATGTTGTATGGGCAGCAAAGACCTTTTTGCATCAGAGCTGGCATGAGGTAAGGTAATCAGTGGGTACAGTGGGTACAGAAGGGGCAGAGATTTGTCCCTTCTGGACATTTGCCTCTCTTCCTGGGTCTAGCATGTGACTGCAGAGCAGAGCTGGGCAGGAAACTGTCTTCCCAACCTGCACATTTGTTTTTAGATTTCAAAATGTTTTCCTGTCCCAAATTGGGCTGAAAAATCAAAGTCTTGAAAATTTTGCAAACTGAGAATCTCTGTTGAAAATAAAGTCAGTGTGATTAAAATCCTTCATTTAAAAAAAAAAATATTTTTTTACTATAATTAGTTTGAAAATCAAACCCAGAAGGGATTTGGAATTTAAAAAAAACCCTGGATTTTTTCATGTCTAAATCGAACATTTTTGAAAATTCTGAAATACCTTTTCCAAAAATGTCAAGTCAAGAAATGTATTGACAACAATCCTTTCCTACTGGCAGTTTCCATTTCAACTCATGCTCATTGCCAATAAAAAATTAAAAAAAAACAACTGAGTAAAATAATTCCCAGAGACTTTGTGATAAGACCTCATAGGTGACAATTTGCACCTTGTTTCGAAGATGGGTGATCTTACACACATCACAGTCTGGGGGAAATGTCATTGCATGAGACATAATGAGGTGATAGAGCTGTCAAGAGGGATTATCAAACATCTAGGCACCAAGCCTGCTATTGATAAAGTGTCAGCAGACTCATAGTTCTGTGGAAACTCCCTGGATTCTCGGATTTGTAGACAGGATCCAGGGTTGCACCATAACTTCAAGGACCTGAATTGGGCCTTATGTCAGGGCCAGACAACTTCTAAGCATCTGGGGCTCTCCCCTCCCACAGAGGTGGCCCCCTTTGCAGCCCTCCTCCCTAGCTCGCTGGCTTTGGGCTCTTACAGCACTACGGGCTGTGCCATGCTGCGCTGCACCATCCACTGGGGCAGGTGCAGGAAGCAGAAGCCAGAGGTGAGGCCTGGAGACCCCAAGTGCTGGAGGGAGCCTGGGGACCGCTCCTTGAGAACTGCATGGGCTGCCCTTTGCACAGCCTTGCCTTAACTGACCAAGACAGGACTTTAGCTGCCTAAATGTGGAGTCAAAGGTGCACCTTATGCCCCCAAGTTTGAAAATTTGGTCTTATGTGAACTGCACCAGGAACACAAGCGCTCACGCTCTGCAGGCACTAAAGGGCTACAGTCCTGTGCAGAACCCACGGAGAGCAGCGCCATTAAGTACATGTCATAGAAACCTTCCTCTGCCGGTCACGATCTGCACTCTGCCTGCTCTGGCAGAGAACCGCTTCACGGCTGAATCTGAACCCAGGCCCCAGAAACCTCTTTTAATGCCTCTTTTAATCTCAGCAGTGTAGACGGACATTTTACAAGTTTGCTCACCCGCCCTCCACTCCCCTTCTCAGAGCCTGGACCTGCTCCCCCCAACTCAAAACGCTTCTCACACAGTTCTGCAAACACTGGCTTCAGACTAAAAGAAGTATTGAGGGGCCTGGCACCCAAAGCTTGAAAGAGTGCAAGGAGTCTGGGCTCCTTTTGTTGCTATGCTTTAACAATTTGATGAGGGCAAAGGGATAAAAAGCAGGCAAGCCAGAAAAGTGACTGATTAGCTCAGTATCCTGACCTCCCACCCCCACCTGTCTCAGAGGCAAATAACCTAGTTTCAATGCTCTAAAGCGCAGAGGCACTCAAATATACATCACTTAAGAGGAGCCAACTGCCTGGAGAACAAAGCACATGGGGGTGGAAAAGCAGGGAGGAGGGCTGAGGAGAGATGGACAGATTATGTAATTCCAACAAGCTGCCAGTTGAAGAAAAGAAAGCAAAGATGAAAGGGAGAGAGATGGCTGGCCAGGAGGAGGAGGAGAGGGAGCAACTCAGGCCTACCACTATTTTAACACAACCTTGTGGCACAAGGCCTTGGAAGAATGAGTGAGAGTGAAGAAAGAAGAGAGAACAGAGAAGCCGTTAAGCCAGCAGAAATGGGCACATCCAGAGGGTATATTAGGTGGCAACATCTCATCACCAGACAGCACTGAGTAAGTGGCAGGGCTGGTGCCATACAGTAAAGCCCTCTTAATTGAAACTTGTTGGGATCCGAAACATGGTAATTAAGTGATTGTTCTTATTATTGGAGGCTTTCAGGAAGTGGAATACATTGTGTTCCAGGACATAGTCGCTTCCCCCTTAACGAATGGCTTTTAAAAATAAGCATAGAACAGGACTTAAAAAAATGGCAGTATTGTGAAAAAGACTAAGTTTGTGACTATAACGGATCAGGGAAACAGTCTCAAAAGAGCAATAGGCCATCCAGGAGAAAAAGTGCATTAGCAGAACATCTGACTCTCACGGATCAGGACTGGGCTGCAAATAGCACCCTTCAAATGGCCTGGTAGGACCATTCTTGCAGGGTGTGAAGATAGTGAAATGGCTGTGCCTGATCCTTCCCATGGCAATCCTCCTATTTAGGAAGAGGGGGATGCCATTCCTGTAGGCCAAATTCAGCTGGGTCACAATGAGGATGCAGGGGTCTCACCATCACTAGGGTCCTGCTTCAACCATTTCATTCTGGTTGGTTTCAAAATTCAGCCTTGGAATGGGATGCGTGCATGCAACCCCAGGCTCTGTTGTGATTCTTACGTGCCTAACTACAGTGAACTGTAATTATACCTCCACACATAGATAAGCCATCATAATGAAGTCTGAAATGTGAATCTTTGTGCTAATTTGCATATATTTTCATTGGAGCCTTTCCTTTGGAAGAAATCAAAATGAATTGAAACGTGCTTCTGATCAGCCATTGCCTAGCAAATGGCATCAGCCATTTGTCAGACGCTGGAAATGGACTAGAACTAAGTCCATTTCAATATGGTTTTGTCTGTACGTTTTGCAATAGCTGTCAAAGGGAAGTGTCGTCGTCAAGTCAATGCAAATCAGCATGCAAATGAGGCTGGCAAAACTTAATAAGTTTCCAGATTGGCAGTGTGCTCTGGTAGGGGAGGGGGACACCTGCCTTTGAAAGGTTTCAAACAAAATATGCTGTGATCAAGGCTTGTCCTAGCTTAAGGCAACAGAAGAGAAGCACTAGACAGAAGAGAATATGATGTGGGGAGATGAGAAGGCTAAAATAATTTGACTGTTTATTGACCCTTGGAGAACCAAATGATTTATTCCTCCCTCTTGTCCCACATGGTTTCCTCACTGAAGCTGAATGTCTCACGTTGAGCATGGGATGCTGCTGCCTTTGCTTGAGCAGGCTGTTTGTTAACCTTTTCCCAAGCTCCCTCACCCTTTGCTGCCCAGGAAGCGATTGAACTTGCTGAGTTTTTCCACCTCCCCTATCCCCTCCTTGCCTGCTGATCACAGCCAGGGGAGGAGATTTTTGTAGTGAGAGTTCAGTAAAAATTAGGAAATGAATCTGAAGGGTGTGGGGGCCTAAAAGTACAGCTGGAGTTCACTGCTGGAGACCATGATAGTGAGCTACCTGGTCTTGGAATGGGGGGGCTCCATGAGTGAGCTTGTGGAGGGGGGGATTTACAGGGCATGGAAGATGGATGGAGGAGGTCCAGGGAACCAGAGGCTTTGGCACTCTAAGGAGTTAGTAGGCATAGAGAGGGACCAGGCAGGACCCTCACAGCCAGCTGGAGCTTCACATTTTCTCTTGGTAAAAATGTTACTGCTTTAATTCATGCACAATAGTCTTCCCTCTCCACTTGCCTCTCTGTTCTCAGATGCCCCTCCACAATCGATGAAATATGACCATTTCCTCCTTTCCCCAGTCCTCCTCCAGACTGGCTTATGGCTGAAGGGAAGAAGGCAGCTTTGATGGACTACCTGTAACTTCATGTACAAACCTGATTTGGCACTCAAGTGTGACACTCCTGAACAAACCCCCGTTCAGAAAGGCTGCCTAGTGCTTTTCAGCCAAGTCCAACCATCACACCAAAACTGTACTTTCTTTACAAAATGGGCCAGTCTTAAGCAGATGGGATGATGTAGTCCCAATGCCTTTGTTCGTTTGGAACATAAGGTCTTTTAGAGTTGCATTTTTTGCTCTGGGCTTGTACAGCGGCCAGCAAAATGGTATCCAAACCAACAATCAGGCCTCCTAGGTGCTACCGTAATATGAATAATTAATATTATAACACCATCACCTTGTATCACATCAGGATCTGGGCCTGTAGATTTAAATCCTTTATTTACAATTGCAAACAAATACCATAATGCCTTTGACTATTAGGCACGCATTTTAATTTAAAACGAAATATTTCATCTAAAAATGACCTGAATTTGATTTAAGAAAAGAAATGAAAAGCTCTTACATGTACCATAGAGGTTGTGTCCTTGCAAGTGGCTCTTGGGTAATTTGTTTAGTTTTTTTAAAGTGAGAATTAGAAAATGTAGGCATATCTTATATTCAAGGCCATCTTATATTGGAAGGAATACAGTGATTAGCACCATTCACCTCACAAGCACTCCTCTTTCCAGCTGCAGTTGCAAGGATGCTCGCTCCTCCTATTGTTGGTTGAACAGCCTCCCTGGACAAATTGCAGCAAGTGCTTCCATGGAAACATGCCATAATTAGGAAAGTACACAGGCCTACATTTCCAAAAGTGCCTAGTGGCCCCTAACTTCAAAGGGGGAGCTTGAAAAGGTCTAAAGGTGTGTGCACCACATTTTTTTGAAATCCAGCTTCCTTTAAGGGTGCTCAAAAATTGTGCGCTCAAAAAAAATAAAAAATAAAAAATATATATATATATCACTGGTCACTTCTGTAAAAATGTAGGTCAGATTTTTAGCTTCACTGAATGAGGTTTGGCAGCTGATCTCACAGAAGAGACCTGGTACCATAGTCCTTTGTAGACAACACAAAAT